ACACCTGTCGATACTACTTGGAATTAATTAAACAAATCCTAGCATGCTTCTACACATTCAAGCAATTACCAAGTACGCGAACGTACCTTGAATATGATCTCAAAATCGCCACGTCTAAATAAAATCACTCACTTGGAAGTCTCCTACAAACCAAAATTATAAAGAAGTATTAATACCTCTTTCACACAAATTTCCAGCAATATATACACTCTTTAAATCACTCATAAACCTTCTAAAACAATCTGAAATTTAATTTAAAACCCTTACTTTTATTCCCAATTAATGGGTAATTAAAAATCCTTTCAAGAAACCTAATTATAACCTTTATATAAAAATTCTAGCTTTATTAAACCATTAAAACACCTATTTTAATAATTTAAATTACCTACAATCAAATTCCATCAATATACATTAATTTAGAAACCTAGGGTTTTCAATTTGGGGCTTTTTAATTAAAAACTAAATCTGAAATTTATATACAACATACTTATCATTAAACATCCTAAAATCATCACAAAACCCAAAAACAATAATTAGATTTAGGGTAGATTTAATTAAAATCAAGAACAGGCGGCTGGTGTGCGCCGATGGTGGTGGTCGCCGTTGCTGGTGTGCGCCGGTGGTGGTGGCCGCCAGCCGGGTGGCGTGTGGTGGTGGCGCCGGCGAGTGTGGTGGTGTGTGGGTGGTGATTGAAAATAAAATAAAATAAAATAAGGGGAAGGGGAAAAATTAAGGAGGAAAGAAAATAAGAGGAGAGAGAGAAAGTTTACCTTTAGGTGCACTCCACCTTAGGCATGTGATGGGTATTTATAGTTCTTAACCCTTCTACTTAAATTTCCTTTACTGCCCTTAATAATCCCTTTCCTAATCAAACTTGTATTTTAACTTTCCTTAAATACCATTGACTTTAATAATTATCTTTTTTTATAAAATAATATGCCCCAATATTTCAAAATCATGAAATAAAATATTTCCAAGATTATTTAATAATTAAAAATATACTTTTAATTAAAATCATTCTTTTTAAATTAATGAAAAACCCTAAATAATTCATTTCGAATCATTTAAGTTTAAGAAATACTTATTTAAATTAAAATACGTATAAAAATACGGGGTATTACACCGGCCAACCATAAAAGCCAACAAACCTCCAAGAATTACCATTCAGCTTAATGATGTCACCACAAATGTGGTTTGGCGACATAGAGACCAAAGAGAAAGAAATAGAACTACTCTTCCTGAATAAACACAGACCTCCACCTAACCCTACACTACTAACGCCAATCGAACAATCAAAATCAAGTCTTCCTTTAAGCTTCTTTGACTCGATCTTATTTATTTTTTTTTCAGAAATAAAAAGCAAAACCGGGGAATAAAATAAGCACCATCTTCTTAGTGCTCTAACTGCTTGAGGGTTGCCTACCCCTCGGTTGTTCCAACACATCAGATTCATTGTTGTTCGCGAGGTTGGGTGACACCAACTCCTGCTACTTCATCAAGAGCTAAAGTATTATGCATACGAGCTCATTTAACAAACTCATCAACCTCCATCTCATTTCCCTTTGACACCTAGCTCCTTACGTTTCCGACATCTGCTGTCTCCTTTACCATCATTCCCTCCACCCCCTAATACCCCCTCTCTTCTGATCTTCACTCCTTTTTTTGCCATCCCTTTCTTTAAATTAGTTTCTGACTAGAACATGAAAAGAATTACAGTTTGTTGAGTTACTAGTAGAAAAAGCCAAATGAGCACCGCACAATGCACACCGATTTTAAAAAACCGGTGCGAAAAAAAATAGGCGGGATTGAGGGAAAGAGTTTTCGCATTGGTTCAAACCAAACCGGCGCGAAAATAAGTTAATCGCACCGGTTCGAACCGGTGCGAATTGAATGTTAATGTAAAAAAAAAAAAAAAAAAAAAAACTCGCCCCTGCTCTTCTTTCCTATTTTTGTCTTCTTTCTTTGTCTTTCCTCCATCCCTCGTTCTCTCTTATCTCTCAATCAACTCTGATGAATTTTAGGGGTTTTAATTCTTGTGAATCAACCGTTTATTTGCTGTGTTGATATTCAAAAGTGTGAAGAGATTTCCTCACTAATGTTGTTGTTATTGTTCATCGTCTAGGGTTTGGCGATTTCATCGATTTACAGCTACCTACGGTTCTAAAATCGCACAACCTCTCTCTCTAATCTAAATGTTTGGGGTATTCTAACCACTATTTCGAACAACAGGTAATTGATTAGTTTTAATTGATGTCTGATTTGTTGTACGCGAATTAGTAAATTGTTAGGGTTCTTCAATTTATTATGGGTTTTAATTTCTCTCCTCAATCAAACCCTAATTTCTCTTTTGATTTCCCCTTTTTTCAATAAAATGGTGGTGAATACTGTAATCCCAGATGCGATTTCGAAGATTATTGCAAACCCATCTCCTGATTCTTCTGAAGATCTTCCAGATCTTGTTGTTCAAGTCATTGATTTGAAAGCCGTCGACAATCGTGAAACCCTAGATCTGTGTTTGAGTCCCTCGATGTCGGCCATGAATGTTTTCCCATTACACCTTCCATCTGTTTGTAGGGTGTCTTGTCTGACCCTCAGAAGAATTCATGGAGTTGGGGCAAAAATCTCATGCGATGATGAAGATGATGTATGTGAATCTTGAGTCTCCCCCTGATTTGCTTCTTAAGCGTTAGATCCAGTAACTGTAGCTGGTGGGTAAATGTCTCTGTGAAACCCTAATTTATTTATCATTCCGTGTTTTTTTTTTAAATAGCAGCATATTTAGGGTGGAGGATTTGTTTGTGGTTGTGACTGTATGCCAGTAACTTCAGTTGCTGGCCAGGATGGATTTTGATGATATTTGTGTTGGTGTTCGTTGATGTTGTGTGGTGGTTGTTGCTTACTATGTGTAGCTTTTGTTATTGCTAATTCCTTTGCCCACCTTGTGTAGCTGTTTGTTACTCTGCTCAGCTTGGGTTGTTTTTGTTTCATATGCTCATTCTGTGTTATTGTTTTTGTTTCATATGCTCATTCTGTGTTGTGGTTCCTATGGTCAGCCTATGTTGATGTTGGTTCTAATGGTCAGCCTATGTTGTTGTGAATGCCTATGGTCAGGGTATGATAATGTTGCTTCCTATGGTTACCATGTGTTGATAATGCTTCATGTGACTAGCCTGTGTTGTTGTTTGTTCCTATGCTTAGCATGTGTTGTTGTTGCTTCCTATGCCTAGCCTGTGTTGTTATTGCTTCCTGTGCTCAACAAGTGTTGTTGTCGGTTCCTATGGTCAGCCTGTGTTGCAGTTGATTCCTGTGGTTAGGTTGTGCTGCTGTCCCTCAGCCTGTGTTGTTGTTGCTTCCTATGCGTAGCCTGTATTATTATTGCTTCATGTGGTCAGCCATTGTTGATGTTGATTCCTTTGGTCAGCCTCTTTTATTGTTGTTGCCTATGCTGAGCTTGTGTTGATGTTGTTGCGCATGTTGAGTCTCTGCCTTTGTCTATGCTGAGCTTGTGTTGCTGTTGTTGCGCATGAAGTGAGCTTGTGTTGCCATGCTGCTTCCCTCCTGCTACCGATTGTGCCAATTGTTATTAATACCCAAAAAAAAAGCGCGGCAATCATGTTGTATACCAGCATACGTTGTTATTAATACCCAAAAAAAAGCGCGGCAATCATGTTGTATACTAGCATACGTTGCTGGCGGGCTGGATTATTGTTGCTGGTTATTGTTGCTGGATTATTGTTCCTTGATTATGTCCCTTGATTATTGTTGCTGGATTATTGTTCCTTGATTGTGTACTATTAATGTGCCCAATGAACCTCTTTGAGCGGACATGCTGTGTGCTATAGATATCATAATGCGTTGAGTCCCTTGGCCGTAAATAGTTACACTAGGATAATCCATATGATGAAGGGACTCACTTTCATCGTACAGCTTTTCACTGTGATTTGCTCCAGTTTTTCCGTTGAGGTAACACAGTTTGAGAAGTTTTTGGATGAAAATAAAACCCTTGATGGATTCATGAATTATTTGCTTTATTTTGATGAAATTTGCGGTTTTTGTTGTTGTGTTTGAATAGGCATTGAATGCCAAGCTAACCAGGTGAGTGCTACTAGTGAAGAGTGTTGATTGTTTGAATGGTTGTGAGGTTGTGTTTGTTGTTATTTAGTTTGTTTAGTTCAATTAGTCTTCTTGTTTAGTTTGTTATTGGTTTCGATTGATCTGCTTTGCCTGCTCAAGTGTTATTGATTTGTTTCTGCTTTGAATACGCTAAAATTTGTTGTTGTGGCTGAATTGAAATATTAATAGCATGGTTATTCACTATCTAATCTGCTACTACTTGTGTTGTGCCCTGCCGAGGCTGTTGCTGCAGCTGGTTTGGTAAGGGTGTTGCTGCCTCGAAAGGTCCTTGTTTAAATTGTTAAATTGTCACAAAAGAAGGAATGGAGGGTGTAATCTTGTATTTTATTTTATTTGTGTGTAACCTTGTATTTTATTTTGTTTTATATTTTACTTTTTTGGACGAAAATTGTAATATTACAGTCTTTTTTAATGAAAATATGTAACTTTATATATATGTTAGTGTTTATATATCAATTTAAGTGAAAAAAATGCAAAAATTTTTTTATTTTTTTTTATTTTTTGGGGCATTTTTCGCACCGGTTTTGAAACAGAACCGGTGCTAAAAGTTTTTTTTTTAATTTTTTTAGGCCATTTTTCGCACCGGTTCACAGCAAGAATCGGTGCGAAATCTTTTGGTTTTTGGCATCCCTCAAATAAGGACCGGTTCAAAACCTGTGCTAAATGGGGGTTTTGAACCGGTGCCCATTTGTATTTTTCGCCATTATTCTGATAGGGATCATCAGCCATCTTTCCCCTCACCTCCTCCTCCTGAGTATCACTCATAATCACTGGAGCAATTAGTCTGTCCTGGTTAAGGAATGGTACAACTAATTCTCCATTCTCTTCATTTAAATACTCCCCTCCTCATTCTCCTTACTCTTCCCCTATATCAAACCTGCTCCCTCCCCTTCTTTATTTTCACTCTTTGCCTCTGGTTTGGAAATAAAAAGTATCTTTCTACAAGCTTTGACTTCCTCTACTTCCTCCATCAGTTTATGTCTCCCTTTGCGAGGAGTTGCTCGAAGTCGAAGATTCCAGCCCAGCCCCTGATTCTGCTCTTCTTCCGGCAAATTCAGACAGTCACGTTCACTGTGTCCCATCACTCCACACATCAAACAAAAGAAAGGCATCCTTTCATATTTCAGATCAATTCTCAAAACCCGTCCATCATTGTCCCTCATATTAACAAAACGCCTTAGAGGTTTCGATATGTCCAGGTTTAGTTTGACTCTCCTATATTTGTCAAGGCCTAAATCATCGTTTTCAATCTCTAAAAGTTCTCCCATGGATGTTGTGATAGTTTTAACAATATTATCAGATCGTCGATTAAAGGGTAAATTCTCAAGTCTTACCCAGAAAGGAGAATGCATTGGCATAACATCTGATGGCTGCTCATTCCCTGCAACCTCACTTAAAGCAAGCAAATTGTTCTCGAAGCACCATGGTCGCCCTTCAAGGACCTTCTCACGATCTTTCCAATGGAAGAATTGAAAAACAAACAGTTTTGCTCCAATGACACGGATCACAACTCGTCTAGCCAACGACCATGCTTGTGTCATGGTTCGCTTAAAGGCATCAAGATTATAATTTCGATCGGTAATTAATCGCCCTACCAGCATTAGGGCAATTCGTTCCTCAGAAACATCGTCCTCCACTTCACCAACATCAACAAATTCGTTTTCTTGATCGTGCAATCGTAATTTTGAACATTGATTTGCTAGTTCTTCTGCCATAATCGACCAATGAACATCCTTTCTTTCAAGGTAGGTCAACCTTTCTCACGAGGTAGTGTCGCCCCTCTCTTTCAAGGGAGTTCGCTTGATTATCTTTGGTAATCTTAAACAATTTATACTTATTATTTATGACATTAATAATTGATTTTTATTAATTAAGTTTTAACTATAGTTAAATTTAACAATTAAATTAATTAAAAAGCTACTTAAAAAAAAAAATTCAAACCCCACTACCCTAAAATCGATCAAACCCATCCCCTTGCCATCAGCCCCTTCCCCTCTGCCCCGCCGGCAGCTCCGACACCCCAACAGTCCCCCCTTTCTGCTTATGTCGATTCCATTGTTGCGAATAAGAATGTGTGTCGAACCCTCCCCTGCGCAGCAATACAAGCAGTTCAAACCCGAAAAATCCATGATTTCACAAAGTGCTCATACAATGTAATATTGTAATCTATTAACTATTATTAAAACAAAACATTGCTGATGTCATCAACCCTTAAATTATCCTACGTGTCAATTTAACATTAAAAATTTTTCCTCCATTTTCTATGTGTGATGTCATCATTTGTTTTATTTTTTTTAACCTACACTATACATTTTTCTAGCAAAAAAAATTACCACTCTTTTTTACACAAATGACAAAACTTTATCTTATGCATAATAATAAAAATTGATTAAATCGTGCAACGCACAAGTCTAATGGGGCTACTGGTATTGCAAGCCAACAACCATTGCAAGCCAACATTTGAATTGAAAATGGCAAGATAATGAGAATAATGGGGCTATTGGTATTGCAAGCCACAACCATTAGAATAACCAATGTCTGATTAAAATACCATCTATCAACTCCATATTAAAGATCAACAATTCTAAAATCCCGAATTACAAAGAACATCAAAAGTACCTGCAAAACTACCACTTTGGAGAGAGAATTGGCGAAATTTGTTGGAATAAAAAAGGCAGGTAACCCAGATTTGTTGAATTTGAAGGTTTCTTTGAACTTATTGAGTTAGGGTGAGGGGGGCATTTAGGAAATCGGGGAAGGGGTCGGCTGACGGATTAGGCGCCGGCAGGGAACGAGGCCCGGGCGCCGGCAATGGAGGGGTAGGGGCAAGGGGTGGCTGTGGTGGGGAATGCGTGATTTTTTTTGTTTAAGTTATTATAAAACTTAACCATGGTTAAGCCTATAATTGTAAATAAAAATCATTAAGGTCCCCATTCAATTATTATAGCAAATTAGAGTTTACCAAATCATTCAATTATGATTTACAATTATTGTACATCCGTTATAAAGTTACCCTAAAATGAGCAAAAGTTACCCTAATATGAATAAAAGTTATTCTGACATAAATAAAAGTAACGAAGTATTTATGGTTTATTAATAAAAGTTACCCAAAAATTGTAAAATTGACTAAATTTGATAAAAGTGACCACCGATGTACAGTAATTACCATACATCGGATGTATACAAAAGTTACTCATTCAAATAAAGTTTATTATGTTAAAACAAAAGTTACTATATTATTATAAAGGTCATAACAGATTAGGTATCTTTCTTTTTTTTTTTTTTTTTAATGTACTGATTAATGTGAAAAAAAAAAAAATCATTGTATTAAAATTAGGGTCACTATATTCAACAGAATACCACACTTTAAATTCATAATAATATTAAAGGTCACAAAAGTTTTAATAAAGGTTACTATTGTAAAATTAAGGCTACTATGTTAAAATTAAGGTCACTACGTTTAATATTCAGTCAATTACGCGAGTATGGATCCCAAGTCCACAATAATGTTATTGTCAATTAGGTCCACACAAGTTTTTTTCTCAGCCAAATTAAATATCCCTCTTTCCTAATCCAAGTCTTACGAGAAGAATGTCCGGGGCTTGTACACAACATAGCCAATTTTTCTGCATCAAAGAAAAATCATCAAGAAATAAGTAGGACATATAATCAAATTAGTTTATATATCCAGCTTCAATATGAAATGAGCCAAATTCAATAATTTCTTGTCAATTAAGTGTTGTTAAACAGTTGACATAATTGTTAACAAATATTCATATAGTCATAGAAAAGAAAGATACCAATGTCCTCTACAAGTGTCAAAGTAAAGTGTCCAGCATAGCATTTCAAGCTTTTATGAGGTTTTTTTTTTTCTGATGACACCAAAAAAAAAAAAAAATAACCGTAAAAAAAAAGAAAAAAAAACACATAAAAGCTTGAAATGCTATGAGTTATTTTTTTTTTATTTTACGAGTTATTTTTCATAGCTAATTTATAACTCAACAGTATCTCAAAGCTATGTAAAAACTCCGTGTTTGCATATATTATAATCTACCATACCAATTCCGAATAACACGTTTTATTAGCACTAGTTGTGGCGTCGCGCGCGCCACCCCAATGGCAATGATTATTATTAGTGATTACTGTATTCGGTGTTTCTGTTACACGATAATTATGTATGCGTATTGTGTGCATATCGTTAAAATTTAAATTGTTAAATGTAATCTAAGAGAAGATTGTTGTATTTAAAGTTAGTATATGGGATAGATGTAATTTAAATTATGTTATTAAAAAGAAGTTTTTTGAATTACTATTGAAATAAATAACGTCATCGTACAATTATCAAAACTTTACCTTTGTGTGTTGTACCTCATTCCCGTTTGTTTTTTGTTGGAAAATAATCTATACGGTAATTTAGTTATATGTTAATTAATCTTATTAGTGTGCTTTTGTTGTTAGAATTGAATGTATTAAAGGAAATCATTTTTTTTTTGAATTTTTTCATTTTACTTATTTGCTAAATTTAGTTTAGTTATGTTGTAAAATTGTTTTTCCAATGTAATAAAGTATTCCTATGTTTTTCATTTTTTTTTTTTTATGTTCTAGATATTCTTTTATCTATGTTCTTAATTTTTTCATTTGTGTTGTAATTTTGGTTTACTTATGTTCTCAAGTTGTATTCTGCTTATATTATAATTTTTTTCTATTTATGTTGGAAATTGCCTTTTAGGTAGTTTGATTGACTGTACTTGTTTGTTATTAAGCTATTAGTTGTTCAATTTGCAAAGTCTTTTCAAAAAAATGAAATAGTTTATGGGAAAGGTAAAATGGTATCTCTAAAGTATGAAGGAGATCATATAGTAAATTTTAGTTAATGGGAAAGGTAAAATGGTATCTCTAAAATATGGAGGAGATCAAGTAGTAAATTTTAAAAGTAATTATTGTGAATTAATTTTATTATATTATAATATTTCTGTACACAGTTGTGTACTTTACATTAGTTGATCTTGAAACCCTTCTTCTAGAGTTTAGGGGTATTCTTAAATTTAAACTAATAGTAGACCTTATTAAGTTGTCTTCTATAATTTAATTGAAAAGTAAGATCATTGTTTTAGTGAGCATTTTTAGTTGACTTAAATTATGAAATGACTTAAAATTAAGAAAACAATGTAAATGTCAAACTTGGATATCACTTTATTTCTTAGTAATGTTTTATAGCACAAATTTTGATATTTACATAAGGTCATTGTTGTAAAACATTACTAATAAATATGGTAAGGAAATTAAATTAACTGAAAAACAATGATCTTATGGTAAAAAATAAAATAATGTGTAAAATTTAAGAAATATATAATTCTAATAATAAATTTGAAGTTTTTTCGAAATAAATACTTTGAAACCATAATGTATATTTGCATTCATTTATTAGAATGTTTACCAAAATCTTTGAATGAAGTTTATTTAACAAATGGAGCAGATTAGGGAATACTAAATCTGATTGCATCATCCAAACTCTAATTTTAAAGGGTCATATGGATTATTGATTTGACTAATAGGCTATCCTTGCTTTGAAAATTATAAATTGCAATTGCTCCCTTCTTACTTATTCTTTCCTTTATTGGCTCAAACTCTTTCTCTTATTCTCTTTTTTTTCCTAATCGTTCTTGTCTTTATTTCATTCTCTAAAAGGCTTTGAATAGTACGTTGCACTTGCTTCCTATTCCCCTTGGCCCCTCCAACTTCCTATCTCTCCCTTATATGCATCAATCTGATATTGCTCTGCATTGCCATTTTGTATATTCATTATAAACAAATTTGTATTTTTTTTTTTTTTTTTTTTTGTAAAAGGAAAAATTGTGGTGTTTCCGTTACACGGTAATTATATATGTTTCCTCTTTCCCATCTCTTGGCTTCTCTATCCCAGCCCTTCTCTGTCTACCCCCTGACATGCCCTTTACTCTTAGCTCATGGCTTGGCTTTTCTCTCTTTCTCTTTTAGCCCGCAATCTCTCTCTTTCATAGCACCTTTCTCTCTCAGCCCCTTCCCCCCCCCCTCCCCACCTCTCTCTCTCTCTCTCAGCCTTACCTTCCCTCTCTTTCCTAACACCTTCGTCTCTCAACACCCCCTTCGTCTCTCTTTTCTCTCGGCATTGCCTTCTCTATCTATTTATCTATATATCTTCTTTTCCCTCTCCTGCCCTATTTTCCTCTCTCGACTTTTTTTTCTCTCTCTCCTAGCCCTTTTCTTTCTCGGCCCCTCTATTCCTTTCCCATCCCCCCTCTTTTTTCTCTCCCTCACCTCTTATTTCTTACTCTCTGTATCTCTTTCTCTCCTCTCTCGAACCTCCCCCACTCCTTCTCCCCCTTTCTACCTCTTACCCTCTATCTTTCCAAAGTTATCTATAACTATGGTTGTACAAACATAAAAAGCATTTACCCATGAATCTAACACAGTTTTATCATAATGTTGAATAATTTATTCTAAAGTTCATTCTAATCAGTTGAATGCCTCAATTGTCACAAAATCTCATAGATTAATTAATAATTTATTGATTATTAAAAGAAGCTTGTCCAAATCTAGTTGTTGAAACCTACTCCCCCTATCTTGCTATGTCTATTTTTTTCCTTTCCCTTTAGCTTTATCGGTCTTTCACTCGTCTTTTATGATTTTAACCATTTTAGGAAGTTTTTAAAAAGCACTATCATCTCCTTACTCAATTACACTCTAAAAAGTATTCTTTTTCTTTTCTTTGATTCCCAACCCTCTTCTCTCCCCCTTTTCTTTTTGCTCCTTTTTAATGGCTTCATAACTTACAAGTCTCTAAAGTGAACAAATATCGAGATAACTTGTAAGAACTCTACGTAACGTGATATGTAATATTAATACAAATGGAAGAACATAGCCAAAAATTAAGATTAATCTTAAACTCTCATAATATCCATCTAAGTTACATCAAATGCAAGAACCTATTTAACAACATTTTAAGCTATCCTAAACTAAAACCCTGAAATGGATTATCTACTTGTCTTCACAAGAAAACCCAACAAAACCAATCAATTGTTTCCACCCAAAAAGCATACATTTGTGAATTAATGAAAACCCCAGACCTCAAATCTTTTGCACCATCCTCTCACCTCTAGTTTAGATGTTGCTGTTGCCGCCTTTATACACTACCGTTACCAACCAGGGTCTATTGCTGCCACCTTGGTGCTGCTATCTTTGTTGTGCAGCTGCCACCTCATTATCTTGTTTCTCTCTCTTTGCTAAATTCAAGGTTGATGTTGCTCATACAAAATCTAAGCCTTTTATCAGTATACTTACCTATAACGGAAAAACCACATCTCAGGTAGTAAGCCTAAGATACTAAGATAGTGCAAACAAATGATGAAAATGGTAATACCTGATTGCTAGAGGAAGTGACTTAGCCTTACACAAAACGATTGGTCATGCCTTCCCAAATCCATAACGTGCCAGAGAAGCATCTTGGCACTCTAGAGATGTCCTGAGCATGACTTTACCTCGTTGTACCATTGATTGCACTCTTCTTTGCCTAATGGCTCCCAACAACAATCTGCCAACAAATGCAAAGAAATAAAAAAATCAGCATGCTACGAAGAATTAGAACAACACCACGATACGAGCAAAGAAATAGTTATTGAGTCATATTGCTCACTTGAGCATCCAATGCATTGCCTTAAAAGGTAAATAACTAATCTAATAAAGATCATAACACCCACCTATCCACCTCAACAGGCTACAACTTCTTCTAAGAAAGGCTAATTCAATTTAATGGCAGTAATAAAGGCAGTCACCACAAATGTGTGCCGTGTCAAAAATATACATAGAGTTATTACACCTCCAAAAGTAAAAGCAGTTTTTTCAAAGTGACGACAAAAACCAACCAATATGAATTTTAACATGGAAAAATTGCATTTATTAATCCCAACTTTGCACGATTTCATTTTATTAATCCCAACTTTGGAATATTCTGCAATAATCCCAACTTTGAGGTGTGTTTTCATTCTTCATACCCAAACCGGTCAATAAAAGTCAACAACCTTCTATTGTAGGTTGCTGGACACGTGTCGCCACGTGAGTGGTCCTTAATGAAAGCTCATACAAAGTTCGGATTATTGCAGAATAATCCAAAGTTGGGATTAATAAAATGAAATTGTGCAAAGTTGGGATTAATAAATGCAATTTTTCCTTTAAAAAACAGAAAATTATTTTTTTAAAAAAAATAAAAAACAGAAAATTATTTTGTTTTTTTTAAAAAAAAAAACAGAAAATGGGTCTTTGTGTTTTTTTCTTTTTTTTTTAATTTTTTTTAATTAATTTATTTTTATTTTGATAAACCAATTAGCATGCAACACGTGTCAAATAAATGGTTTTAAATTTTTTTTAACCCTTTCTTCAAGTAACCGGTAATCCGGACCGAAGAATGAAAACACACCTCAAAGTTGGGATTATAGCAGAATATTCCAAAGTTGGGATTAATAAAATGAAATCGTGCAAAGTTGGGATTAATAAATGCAATTCTTTTAAAATACCTTAATTAATAAATAATTGCAAAAATTAAAAGGAGCATGGCTTTAATACCGCTGTAGGGTTTCGTAGTGACCCGACACTACGCGGAAGGAAACCCCCCCAAGACCGGCCCCTTAATTAAAGCAATTAACAAGCATAATAAACTTAATCAAGCAAGACTAAGAACAAGAATTATACCTTTGTTGCGTGCTTCGCTCCCGAAGAGCTCTTACTTCAAAATCCCGAAACTACGAGATCTCCGACGGATCGTACCCTCGACCCGACCCGAGCGTCCCAAGTCTTGAAGGTTAGTCAAGACCCGGACAAACAAAACTATGAGTTTTACGAATCAAAGGTTTACTCTAATTACAAGAGTTGCCTTTTTAATTCCACTCAAGGTTGTGTCTTTCCCAATACCATGCTTTGGTATTTATAGGGAAATGCACCCTTGATTTCCAATCTCCCATCAATGTGGGAGAGTTGGTAAACTCAACAATTTATTTAATTCCAAATTGAATAAATAATCAACTTAATCACATTGCGACAAGTGGCACAATCACATGCTTGAGTGATGGCCAAAGCTAGGTGGGGGGGACCATTTGCCTTGCTCCCCAAGGCCCTTGATTTGATCCCCACAAGCAAGCACAAAACCGGCATAAGCAAGGGTTGCTGGGCTGCTGCCAGCTAGCACGCCAGCTAGCAGTGCCAGCTAGCCCAGCCAGCCAAGCCAGCAGCCTCGCATCCCAGCCAGGCAGTGCATGCTTGGTGCTGGGCAATGCTTGGCGCTGGTGCGTGCTAGTGCTAGGCGCTGGTGCGTGCTGGTGCTAGGCACTGCTAGCACGTTATGCTGGCGCTGGCCCCTAGCACTCCCACACACTGCCTCGCACACACACTCGCATACTATGCGCACCCATGCCAGCCAGCCCCTCACGCACGCAAGGCCTAGCATGTGTGCTGCTAGCGAGCCACGCATGCTGGCCCCTTGCCTCGCCATCCACACGCACCAGCCTCGGCCATGCACCACGCACTATGCATGCACCAGCCTCTGCCATACACCACGCACTACGCATGCGCCAGTGCCTAGCACTAGCTGTGCTTGGTGTGTGTGGTCCTGCCATGCGGCGCCCAGCATTGTGCTAGGGCTGCGACGGCACCCAGCCATCCTAGGGCACGCATGGTGCGCCTAGAGATGCTGCCTGGGCTGCGATGGTGCCCAGCCATCCTAGGGCACGCATGGTGCTCCTAGAGATGTTGTTTGGGCTGCGATGGTGCCCAGCCATCCTAGGGCACGCATGGTGCGCCTAGAGATGTTGTTTGGGCTGCGATGGGCTATGATAGGCTGCGATGGTGTGCCTATCACACCTAGTGTGCTTAGGCTTACGCCTAGCCATGCTAGGTGCATGCTAGCTCGAACTAGTCTAGCATCCACATGGTTAGACCATTCTGGTGCTACGGCTACGCTCGTACTTATCGCTTGTGATTTTGTGACGCTCGGCCTCGACGCCCTAGGCTCGATATCCGACATCTGTATTCGTTAAACTCTGTCGACTCATTAAATCCTTTCAGATTAATTCGTCGTCTCGGATCGGTGATTCGATTGGGTTCGACCCGAAGGGTTCAGTTAAGATTAAGTTGTAATATCAATTGTACCTTGATATTACTGATCGGAAGCGGCCTCCACCTAGGCATTCCGATCACTTGATCTTACTGAAGAATTAACTTTGTAATAATTCTGAACCCTTTATCGGAAGAATACACTTGTTGGAAGGACACCATTCCTTTCAATGCGGCCCCTTAACACCTCCAAGATCCTCTTCTGTGATAACAATCTCTGGGAATGAACTCTTGGCGGTCCGTTCTTGGTGAACGGAATTAACATCCAGCCGCCTGATATTGTCTTTGTTTCCCCTAATAGTGGGACCGCCTCCGGAGAAGCCGCCTGCTATAGTGTAGACGACTGCGTCATCAGTCTCAGAACTGTCGGCTGGCTGATGATTCTTCCTGGCCGACAGCTTGTTCTTTGGGGGAGTATTGCCCTTGGACTTCTTGACATAGGAGTCAAGGTCGCCTTTTTCAGCTAGGCGGTCCAGGTAGCGCATGAGGCTTATACATTCATTGGTTTCATGGCCAATGTCTTCATGAAAATGACAGAATTTATCCTGGTTCCGATTGCTTGCAGAACCCTTCATGGGGGCCGGCTTCTCGATTGAGATCCGGCTCTTGATTTCTTTGAGGATAGTTTGGCTACCCTTGTTGAACGCATACTTGGGAGAGTATGGTTTGAACTCTTTCTTCTTTTTCCAGGCCGGCTGTTGAGAGGAGTCGGCCGCCCAGACTTCTTTTCTCTTTTTCTCATCTTTATTTGCCGACTGCTTTGGTCGACTTTCTTTTTTGTCAGACCTCCTTCCGTCCGACTGCTTTCCAGTATTACAGAGATCATTCGCCTGTATGTAGGCTTCAGCTTCAATCAGTGCTTCTTGGAGAGTCGCAACCCTCTTTCGGACCAAGTCGAACTTGAAGGTCGACCCATCCTTAAGACCTCTGAAGAAATCAGTGTAGGCTACCTCATCCGGCAGCCCTTGTATTTGAATCCTCATCAGGTTAAATCGCCTGATGTAGGAACGGAGTCCCTCCTTCTCACCCTGCTGAATGGTCCCTAAATCAAGGGTCGTCTTCTTTGCAGGAATGTTCATAGCAAAATTGGAGGTGAACAAGTAGGCAAGCGTCCTGAAATTATTCACACAACCAGTCGGCAGGTTGTCAAACCATTGTTGTGCGATTCCTTTGAGAGTTGCTGGGAAACACTTGCACCAAGTGGGATCATCCAACCCTTGGAGGTACATTAGGTTGGTGAACGCCATTAAATGATCTTCAGGGTTAGTAGTGCCATCGTTGGCGCATACTAACACATTCTTAACTTTGGCTGGCTGGGCGGCCTCTGTAATTTCCTTGGAGAAGGCGGACGGCTGTTCTCCAAGTCTTAGCAACCGTAGTTGCCAGTCCAAAGGTTGGGCGTTTTTTGCCGCCTGTCCTCCAAACAAAGGAGGCTGCAAAAAGTATTGTTGTTGTGGTACGTATGGCATGTTTGGTACCGACTGATCTTTATGAAATCCAGACCGAAGGGAGGTACCGCCTGTCTGACTCTTATAATTTGATTGAGTATACCTCATGGAGGTATTGTGCAGACTATCTTGAAAATCTGAAGTAGAGGCCGACTCTGACAGTCGGTCATTCTTCTTCTGCTCTAGCAATAGCCGAGCATCTGAGTATGTTTTCTTTTACCCATCCGCTTGTACATGACGAATGGGCTTTCTCTTCCCTGGTGAGGGGAAGCGGTACTTTGTTAAGTCAATCACAGGCGGCTCCCACTTCCTAGATTTAGGGTGAGGAGTCGCCTCTCGACCCTATACAGGTTTCCTTCTTCCAGACTGAGAAGGTTTTCTAGCCGACTGCTCCCTGGAGGGAACAAGCGTCTTCTTATTAATCAACTCTTAGATCTCTCCCTTGAATCCCCTCATGAAAGTCATGAGTTCATTCCTTGTAATGGGAGCGAATCCTTCAGCCTCCTGTTGTTGCTCAGGCGGTTGGTCGGCTGGATTGCTGGGTCCAGCTTGGTAATCTACCCGTTCTTTCCTTTCGGTGTGACGAGTGCGTCGGGCCCTTAGGGTCTCGTCTGAGGCCGTGTGTGCTTCAACCTCGACCTCATTCTCAGTATCTTGGTCTGAGTAGACTTGAGGGTTGTCCACTGGACGCCTCTCTTCTGGATTCGGTACAGACTTTGATGCCATCTCGAAAGTACTCTCCCCACAGACGGCGCCAAAATGTTTTGGGGTTTTCTGATGTCCTACGGGAGAGTTACAATTCCGGGACTGGAACCGTGCGCCTGTACCTGCAAAACAACAGAGACTCCGGGTGATGGGAGCTCCGCCTCCGACGGTCAAGTTAGTACTTGTTTTAAGAGTAATAAATGCGGAAAAAAGGTAAAGGTTTTCTCTAGGTGAGAGTAATTAATTTGCTTAATCCCCCTTAACGAGGATTAATTAGAGTATTTATAACCTTGGGAAATGTGCCAAAACACTAGGTTTAGGTTAACCTAGGGCTGACTGGGCTTCCCTTGGCAATTGCGCCTAGGTGGCCTGCTTGGCATATGAAGGCCACGTGGCGAGGCACAACTGGTCCATGGTGGACAGATCAACGCTTGACAC